CACTCATCCTGGACACTGAGTTCCTCTGCCCTCAAGGACCCCAGTGCCTCTCCCACTAATCTCCTCATCTCAACGAAGTTGGCCCTCCTGAAGTCTAGGGCTACCGCCTTGCTGCGGGCCCTTGACACCCTACGCTGGATGGCGAATTCCAGCAAGCGATGATCACTATTGCCCAGGTGGTCAAGAACCTGGAGGCCCCTTACCAGGTCGTCGCCTGCGGCCAGGACCAGGTCCAACAGGGCACCTCCAGGGCACATGATTTGATTAAGCCTGTGCTGGGTGCATCCAGAATCCCTGTAGCACCATGTTCTGTAACGAGAAATCAGGGGCAATATTCTACAGAAGCCTGTATCTCAAGAATGGCAGCTACTCTTGCGATGCTCAGACAGGATATAGATATATAGATATATATTTCTCTATATCTAGATATATATGGAGTACACTGCTGCTTCTTACATAGTTAATTCTTTACTTGTCCCTACCACAGCAGGAAGAAGGAAGATAGGCACTCTTATAGAAGTTATGGTAAGAGTAAAATGAAACTAGAAGACAGAGACAGCTACATGTAACTAACAAAGTAAAGTCAGCTCTTCTGGCCCGGGTGCCTGACTTCTCTTCTGTGACTAGGGAAAGATAACCGCATGGTCTGGGCATACTTCCTACCAAAGAGAGTCTCCCAGGAGAGCCTGCCACAATCATCCCACAGATTTGTTTTCTGTCTCAGCGCAGCTGTTCCCATCATGACCTACTGGCCTGATTTCTTGTTACACAGAATGCTACTACAGGGATTCCAGATGTGAAACACGTCGAGTGAGTCTAGATTCTGGACTACTTAGTATCTTCACCACTTTCTTTCCAGATCTCCTAAAACTACAGAAACATGACTGAACTGCTTCAAGTCTTTTCTATTGAGGAAACTCAACTGGACAGGTGGCGACTGAAATTTTCAGGGTAATTGTATAACTGGCAACAATTGTGAAAAAAAACCAAAAGAAATTGCCGGTCTTTGGCAACACTCCACACTAAATTGTGTTCTCTCATGTTTGTACAAACCCCACGTGAAGATAAAGCATGTGTGGTGAGGAGAGGGGACCTCTCTGGTTATCTGTCAGCTGAGCTCCAGAACTCTCTTTACTTTCCAAGTATCTCAGTGTTTCACTTTGCAACTCTTGATGAAGTTTGTCCAGCTGGTTATCATTCATGTAGGTGCACACCCCTTTATTCACCCAGTCCTGCCATTACCTCTGAGAGTTAAACACTTTATTTTCCACTCACAAACACTCATTGCCTCTTCTGTCCTTTCGTATGCTACATTTCTGCACAAAACCCCCTCACATCCTCATGACTTTTAAACCCATGATAGCCCAGGATTCATGTGACATCCTTGAGGAGGGCCTGGCTTTATACACCATACACTTGGGATAAGCAACCCTGTCCTGCATCTTAGATCACCATGGGCAACTTCTCTCTGGTGGTGTGAGGACAGACAGCAATCCAGAGCATCAAGTCAATCCTGTCTATGTTAACAGTATCAACAATGGATTATTGGACATGGCTAAATTTGTCCCACAATGTCATTTCCAGAGCAGGCCTTCAGGCCTACACCAGCAGATAAAGAGACACAGACCCGGCCACTATTAAGATATCCCCAACAGATTCACATGAGAGAGCTAGTGGTTCAATGCCTGTTCCTTCTGCTTCAACTGATATGCCCAAAACAAACATCAAGGAGAAATTGATTTCCTGTAACAGCTTTGACTTATGGTATCCTCAAGCACTTTACAAAGTCAGGAGGTACTTGCTGGTACAAAACTTACAGAAGCTATTCTGGACTCAGCTACAGCCCTCATAATTTCCAGCACTGGAACTAGTCTAGTCAGAAAGGAAACGTTTGGGTTTGAGCCCAACATTATTCCAGACATTTTTTGAAAGTTGCAGTGTGATCTTTACTACCCTATGAGAGATGAGTGGAGGAAACCTCAGTTTAGTATCTCACCCAAAGGATACTGGGGGTGAAACTCCAGGGCCAAATACAACTTTGTGACCATGTGGGGAGCAGCAGAAGATCCAGCTGCGCTGATAGCCAAGTGGTGTGCATTTCTGGAATGCTCAACTTGCTGTTTTTGAAGCACATATTAGAAATGAAGCTCACTATGTGGATTCAGACTGAACTTTGTCTGAGGTCCAAGCTTTGCTTTTCCCAGCCTGCCTGGCTCCTCAGTTGCTTGTTGCTTGATCTTGGGGCAGCTGCTGATGGGAGAGGTTGCTTTCAAATTGTTTAATAACAGTGATGGTAACCTTTGACCTTGCTGAACAGCTACGCTTTTGACCTTTCATTTGTTAAATAATACAACCACTTACTTCCCGATCCTTATCGGTATTTAGTAATTGGGGTCAGGACAAAGCAAGACTGAGTACAGTTACCCACCAGGCTTTATTGAACCTGGAAGAATTTCCTTAAGCTATAGATTTCCTCCTCGATAATCTTCAGTCAAGACAGGCAGAGACTGGAGACTGGATGGCTTAGAGTATTGGTAATGGGATAAAGAGCCTTTCAGCTCTTGGCATCTGGTTTGAATCCAGCTATGGTTGACAGTGATGGAAATTCACTACCATTGTAGGATGACCAGCTGACCAATGTGGAATGATCTGGGATCTCAGTCTAGTGCCTACTGGGTAGATATCCATTCCATAAAAAGCATCATTGCAATTGGCTCTAGAAAGACTAAATGAATTTATGAAGACTGGACTCCTCTAGGTTGTCCCTCCAGATCAGGGCAAGGTATAATGGCATAGGAAAGTGCATACAGGAGGCCTGTGTGGCCAGTAGGTGTCCTGTGTGACCTGTGGTTAAGTAGAGGTTGTCAGTTTGCAGGGCTGTCTGCCTGTCTCTCTTCACCAGAATTAATGTAAAATAATGGGCCAGCTGTGTGCTGTGCATCTCAGGAAGCAAAGTACACCCTGAACTAACATTATATGTACTAATGCTTAGTAGAGAGGCAGCTGAGGATTGTTTTTGTATAGAATCGTAGACAATTAGGGTTGGAAGGGACCTCAGGAGGTCATGTAGTCCAACCCCCAGCTCAAAGCAGGACTGTCCTCAGCTATCTCATTTCAGCCAAGGCTTTGTCTACCCGGGTCAAAAACCAGGGAGAAGGGGGAAGCCAGCGAAATACAAAACTGACAGACAGCAATTCTAGGGTCACTTTTTTTCCCCCCAGGCATGAGGTAAAGAGGAAATCTGAAGGGAATGCAGGAAATTATCATCTGATGAAGAATTTTTAAAAAATTGTGTTGGGACATGATTCAGAGCCAGGAGGATGTGCCCATTATCAATTTGTGCAGACACTTCACCTTATTCCCATTGTTCTCATCTTCCACTAACTTTCTGCATGATGTCTGTCTGACACTGATCTGTAAGCTCTCTGGGGCAGGCACTGTTTCCTGCCTGTCAAAGCATTGCCTGCCCCAGCAGGAGCCCAGGCCTGATCCCTGCTGCAGACGCTGCAATAAGCATAACTAGGGAAGAGGACATCAGTGGTGGCAAAATTCATAGGGTCCGCGGCTGTTGTATACTGAAGAAAGGGGAAGGAAGGAGCCCGTAGCAGCACTCAAACAAGATGCACTGATCAGCCACCTGCCTTGCAGCCTTACCCTGAGGGTTCACAGCCACCCAAGGTCAACGTGTGTCCAAGGGAGTGCTGGTCTCTCCTGGTGTCTCTGTGGGGAGGGACTGGGGGGGCTCACCTTGGCCCAGGAGCAGCCTGTATCTTGCTCAGCCAGAGGGGACCAGGCACAGCCTCTCTCACAAGGCATCTCTTTTATCAGGCTGCGGGAGAAGCATGGGCCTGCCTCTGCCTGGGGCAATATGCTGCTCCCTGCTGCAATGGCTTGGGGGCCATCTGGGTGTCTCCTCTTGCAGGATCTCCACATTCCTTGGCATGGCCATGGCGTGGGAGTGGAGGGGTTATTCAAGCTCTCCAGAGGCATTTGGAGGCCTGTGTGTGCCAGGAGAAAAGAGGTTGTTGCTCCCCCATGCTTTGCGGGGCCCTGGTGATACTGATGCCGCCACTGAGGCAGGGCACCCCCCAGGCTCCTGTGAAGCGCCATGGAAACGCCCCCAGCCCTGGCAGTACAAGGGACCCAGCCCTTCCCTGGGCTCCTCAGGCCAGTGTTGCCTGGCACAAGGGCCTGAGGGCCAGGCCCTGAGGTGGGGGTCCTGTTGCCCTGGCAACACCATCATTTTTCCTCCCAGTTGCTATGGCGTCGTGGCTGTGGCTGTAGCCGTGGCACCACCATCATTTTACCCCAGTTGCTATAGCGCCGGGGGCGTGGCTGTTGCCATGGCGACACCATCATTCTTTGCCCCCCCCTCCGCCTCCCGGTTGTCACGGCGCTAACCCGCTCCGCTCTCACCCTATGAATAACACCCCCCCTTCCCCCCACCAAACCAACCAGCTGCGGAGAACAGAATTTTTTAAAATGTAAAAAGTGCGCTAGCTCGGGCTCCGTGACCTCTGCCCCGCGCAGGGCCCTCTCCCCTCTGACCTCTGTCCCGGCGGCCCCGCCCCGCCGCGCGCGT